CTTTCACGAGATCGAGAGAACCCTTCGTCACAAGTAGAGCCACAAACAATGGCGGAAGAGCAAGCCAAATTCAACAATCAAAATATGTCCGATTATGCCCGTCCTATGTTGGAGGGAACTCACTCAAGCATCTGGTGGCCAACATTGAAGCCAACAGCTTCGAAATCAAGATTGGGATGTTGCAAATGATCCAAAATTGGGTGCAATTCAATTTCCTACCCGAAGAGGATCCCAACTCTCACCTGAGGAAGTTCTTGGAGCTTTGTGACACAATAAAGATAAATGGCGCAACCATTGATGCAATCAGCCTCTGACTATTCCCATTCTCCCTCGACAATGGAGCATGAGAGTGTCTTGATGCACAACCACGAAACTCAATCACAACGTGGACAGAACTTGTCGATAGATTCTTGGCCAAGTACATTCCACCAAGCAAGACGGCGAAACTCCGCAATGACAAAACACCCTCAGATAATGCCCTCACCATGGCGTTCCTCTTTGGCCGCAAATGCAAACATTCTACAATGGTCTCAATCTCTAGACAAGGCAATCCATAGATGCAATGATGATGGTACCATCTTAAACAAAACGCCTCCTCAAGTGGAACAAGTAGTCGAAGATATGGCGATGAACAACTATCAATGGTATTCGCCTCCAAAGTCCAAATCCATGTCGACTGGCACCAACTCGAAATGTCGGACTCCACCAAATTGATCTGGTGACAGCCTTGGCAGCTTAGGCGGAGTCACTCAACAAGCAGTTTGCAAATTTTATCACCACCTCCAAGGTGTTCTAGTGTGAATGGTGCACGGGTGACCACAATATCGTTGAGTGCAAGATGATCTCCTCATCATCCACCACTAAACATGTTGATTATATCAATAATCCTCAAAGGGGTGGGAATCCATACAGTTTCACATGCAATTCGAGATGGCAAAACCATCCAAACTTCTCTTGGTCCAACCAAGGGAATCACCGAGCTCCACCTGGATTCAATCAAGCATCATCGAGCAATTCTCATCAACAACATCAAGAACTGCCGTCACCAGAGAAGAAATCCAACCTCGAGTATATGATTGGCAAGTTCATTGCCACATTAGAATCTAAGTTCCAATCATTGACAAGTTTATCTCCAACATTGCAATGCCATCTTCGTCCTCAACTCTTCAAATTCGAATTTGGAGGAATCATACAAGGTCATGGAGTGCACAGGTGAAAAGTGGTGCAATCAAATACTCCACCACCACCTTCCATACAAAACCGAGGAACGAGACAAGGATCAAGCACCACCAAAATCAGTTGTCCAACAATATCAGCCGAAGGTGCCATTCCCATCACCCCTACATTGCGACAAGTTGGAAGAACATTTTGGGAAGAAAGTTCTGGATATGATGAAGCAAATCCATGTTAGTATGCCTTTCATGGATTTGGTTTCCAAAGTCCCGATGTACGCTCGTTTCTTGAAGGGGATCTGACTCGTTTGTACTATCACACTAGAAAAGGGCCAAGTGTAACCACCTACTAATGCGTAGTATAGCGGGCTTAGGTTTAAATGTCAACCCGGGTCCTAGGTGTGATGACTACTCCGTGTGATTCTTATTATTTAGTGGTTAAACTGTAGAGAAGTTCAAATTAAACTAGCAAACAAAAGCAGTAAAGGTTGTGTTCCAAGTTTGAGAGAGGTCACCTAGATATGGTTCCCCCTAGACTGCAGTTAAGCCAAGTTGTAATTCACCCAGTCCAGTTTTAATGATAATTATATTGTGGAAGGTTCTTAGATAGTCTAAAGTCTCGACTAAAGGTCTCCATACCCTCTCAATCTGAATCCCAAGCGGGCGACTAACCTCCATCGGAGTAAACAGACTGAGGCCCTAACGTGCCCAACCTCCTCTACTTGAGTAAATCCAGTACGGAATAGTGAATCGAATCCTCGACTAAAGTCGTCAATTCACTACCTTCAATTAAGGGTGCTCTATCAACCTAGGCGGATATTCTCTTTCTAGATCAAAGCAGGAACTACAAGAATTTGATCAGGATTCATGCAATTTAGAAAATCATGCATCAATTGAATATAATCAGTATCAAAGAATTTGTACTTGGGTTCATAGAACCAGACCTAACATACAAATGTAGGATTCTTCATACCCAGGTGAGTGAGAGAGTTTACTCCATAGGGAGAGAAGAGAAATCTGCTTCAGATGCGGAAAACATTATGTGAAGGATGAAAATGTGCTTATAGTAATCAATTAGCACTTCTCCAAGCTTCCACCGAGCTCCAATGGTGTTGAAGATCGATTTTGGGAGCTTGGAAGTTCTGTTCATTTCTCTCTCTCTCTAGTTTTTTGGATTTCTTTCTCTCAAAATCGGATGATCTCTCTTTGGCTTGAAACATCCCTTTTAACCCGAGACTGGGCAAAACACGGTTGAGGACACGATCGTGTTTTACTTTTTCCCGCCCGTGGTTTGAACTCCTCAGCAATAGTCACAATGAGGCTCTCGGCATAAAAAGCACGGGCTGGGGAACACAGCCGTGCTTTTATCAATGGTGCCCGTGTTCTCTCCTTGCAGCGATTCAGCTCACGCACTAAAAAGGACTGGCGTTCCCCTTAGTGAACACGATTGTGTTCTGGAGTGGTCTGCCCGTGTTTTGCCCCAACTTCATCGAATGACCTCCAAACTCCCCGAAACTCGTGCCTAGCCCTTCCTTCGACGTCTGGGACCTGAAATGTGACAAAATAGCACAACCCAATGTAAAATAGGCCAAAGATATGCGACTACGAGCCGCAAACGGATAAGAATTAAGGGTGAAACATGTGCAAATACATCGTTATCAGGATCCTCTAAAAAAAAGAGGAAAATTGATTAGTGTGATTTGGTTACAATCACCGGAGATTGCGCTGCCATCGTCCAAAATAGCCTACCATGAAAAATGAAGGAACCTGGCAGCTTCACCATTCCATGTCAATTTGGTAACCTTTCTAACTCTAATGCTTTGGCCTACTTATGAGCAAGTATTAATGTCATGTCCTATAAGCTCTTTAAAAAGTTAGGCCTAGGAAAACCTCAACTAACTTGCATGCGCTTACAACTAGCAGATAAATCTCTGGTTATTCCTAAAGGAATTGTCGAAGACATTTGTGGAGTCATCTATGTTGCAGGTTAAGTAAAACATGCCTCCATTACCAAGCAGGCGACTTATGTCGCCCAAAGCAAAGATGGAGGAATGGCGGCCAAAACTAAGACAAGGGAGCTCACTCACAATAATTCTGGAGATCACTACGAGCTGGTCCGATATCCAATTGCGATCCCCTAGCACAATAAACTGACGTCCAGCTAGCACGACGTTAAAGAAGCGCTTATGGGAGGCAACCCAATTCTTGGTTTGCATTTTCCTTTATTTTAGGGTAATGTCTATTTTTTATCCAAACCTTTTTCAGATTCTTTTATATTATCCAGGCCTATCGAAATACTAAAAATTAGCCATCCAAGTGTGGGACCATTATCGTAATATTGACTTGGCAACATGATACTGACTTGGAAGAGACTCATGAAGGTCAACATTCCAAAATTATAGTATTTTAGCTAAGAACAGAGTTACAAAATTATTAACGATAACGTAAAAATGGCTAATATTTTGATTACATCATGAAAGATTTGGATAATTAATAGAATTTTAATAGGTTTGGATAATATAAATGAATCAGAAAAAGATTTGGATAAAAAATAGACATTACTCTTTATTTTATTTTCTATTTCTTTGAGTTTTTCAATTACAAGAATAAAAACCATCACCAAACATCGACCAAAGATCTCGCCAAGTGGAACCACCATCACCGTACATCATGCCACTACATCCCACGACCAGGAAAATGGTAACAATTCGAATCCTTACTCCCTATATTTTCGCCATTGAGGATAATGTCCAATTCAAGTGTGCGGGGTATATTCGTTTGTTTTCATGTGTTCTAACAAAGAATTATTGTGATTAGTGTCCAAAAAATCATTAAAATATTAAAAAAATTCAAAAGAAAAAAAGTAAGTTTGTGTTTAGTCTCATGAATGCCAAAATTTGATGCAAGAATAATACGATTTTGATGCATTTCACCTATAATGAAGACCGAGGGATTAAAATGAATGTATCTTGTGTTACTCTCCTTTGATGGCAAGAAGTTTCTAAATTCTAGAACAAGTTAGTCGTCATCTTTGATTGTTGTTTTATAGCATTTGAAAAACATAGCATGAGAAACCGAGCATATAAAAAACCATGTGAGACTTGAGCATGATCGTTTCTTTCTTGAGTAATAGATCTCTCTCTTTGCATGATGATATGCTTGATTTATACATATTTGAGTCGTGACACCACTTATAAGGACGGCGGAGGTTCACTCCTAAAACCAAATGACTAGCCTAAACATCATATCCCCTAGTCAAGCCCCGTTTAGACGAGCATATTTGTTCGGTGACAACCTGTTTTAAAACCAACCATCTGATCTTCAAACTCCAATATTTTAGAGAGATTTTTCAAATGTTTTGTTTGATTGGTTTAAACAAATGACTTTCTGCTTAAATTCAAACAACAATTGAGTTAGGGAGAAACTACTTTTTCATGTGCAAAAATCAAAATCTTAGTCATTTCCTTCAAAAGAATATAGATGAAAAGAAGAAAAAAATGATAAGAGTTGGCCACCATCTCTTATGAACTTACAAAAAAGGAGTCATTTTTCTCTCAAAAGCCACATCGGCTATTTTCAAGCTCCTAAAAAATTCTCAAAATGTTTCTCCCTTTCTATTTACAAATAAAAAGCAGAAAAGTCAAGGTCTTTGATATAAAAATTTGTTGAACCTTGAACTTACCACCAGACAAAAATCCTTCCACATGTCCATGCCCCCAACTACGGGTGTCAATCGGGCGGGTTCGGGCGGGTTCGGGTCGGGTTCAGTCGGGTTGCGGGTTAATCGGGTTGCGGGTCAAGCGGGTTGCGGGTCAAGCGGGTTCGGGTTGCTTCTTCTAGCCCTGGCGTCCATTGCTTATGAAAAAAAGAAACGAAAAGAAAAGAATTACATAATCAATCGAACAAGAAACAGCAAACACAATAGATTTCCACAACGTTATGACTTTGTTCAACTTCCTTATCCACAAACTCCAACCATGGCGGCTCCCACAAAGCTCACAGTTTAGAGAAAAAGAAAGCAGTGAAGCATTAGTAATGGTGTCTGGAAATGACCCGATGGAGCCTTTCCTCAATTCAATTCAATTGGTGAGGGACGCTTTTACGCCCTTCGAGCTAGGAATCCGAAAAGCTGCTAGAGATCTCGAAACCTGCTGGGGGAGCGGCGGTTGGAATAATGACAAGGGTTTTATGCACGAATTGAGTTGCGGGGAAGGTGGGAATGGTGTTCACAGCAAGGTACAGATCCTTGCCGTGGAGAAGAAGAGTGCCTGTAATGGTGGTTGTGGTGGTATGGCTGAAAAGAGGAAGAAAGGTTTATCCATCAGAGTTCCTGTTAGAGCTTTGCTGGGGTTGTTTTCCCCTAATTCAAGAGGCAAAAATTTTCCAGAAGTCTTTATATATGATAGATCTCAAAGTCTTATTCAACTACTAACATGCTGTCATTCACAATTCCACATGTGCTCCGCGGAATCTTATGTTCAACAAACATCAGTGATGTGATGCTAAACAAAGATTAATATGCATTCATACTCCACTAGGTACTTTAAATACTTCTATCAATGAAAAGAGTTTTGAGGGAGAGAGGTGAGTGCAAACCGTTAGTGTACTCTCAAGCTTCTTTGTTTGTGATAATAATTTCCTCTCGTCGATGAATGGCAATTTAGCAACACCCTGTAAAAGACCAGAAAGTATAAAAATAAGCTTAACTCCCAATCATTGACAAACCCTTGCTGCTGAATTGTTTGACTCAGCCAAATAACAAACCCTTGCGGGAGACACGTACCTGAGAATGGCGAGGGAATCGACCCAGCCTCTTCCGCCGCAACCACGCCGACCCGCGACTCTCTGCTTCTGTGCCGTATTCTGCTGCTTCCTCTGCTTCTTGTTCTTCTTCCGCTTCCTCTGCTTCTTGATTTCAACCACGATTCCGTCAATAACAACAACGGCGACGACAACGAGGCGGCGGAGGGGAAGGAGAAGGAGAAGGGCGCGAGGCGGCGGAGGGGAAGGAGAAGTAGAAGGGCACGAGGCGGCGGGGGGGAAGGAGAAGGAGTAGGGTTTTTGGCGGCGGAGGGGAAGGAGAAGGAGAAGGGCGCGAGGCGGCGGAGGGGAAGGAGAAGGAGTAGGGTTTTTGGCGGCGGAGGGGAAGGAGAAGGAGAAGGGTTTTTTCCCGATTGAGATTTGAGAGAGAAGGCGAAGACTGATTTTGTGTTTCCTTTCTTTTTTTTTTTTTTATTTGAGCAGACAGATATTTTTTCCGTCTCAAATCATCACAAAAAATATATATTGTTAATAAATTTTTTTTTTCACGGAAAATTAAGTAGGGATGGGGGGAAATTTCAATTTTTGATCAAATATTGGGGGAAGCGGGTTTATGGGAGGGATTTTTAAAAAAAAATAGGTTTGCAAGGAAATTTTTGAGCAAATATTTGGGGGTTTTGAATTTTACATTCAAAAAATTTCCATAAACATCTAGTTCTTTCTTTCTTGATATTTATTATTATAGATGGTAAATTTTATATCGATTAACTAGTTTGTTGTTCGATTCGTTGGTCGGAATGTCATTTGAATATGATATATTTAAGATGTACATTCACAAGTTAAACTAATTGTTAAAATCAAATTAATTAATAAACTATAAAAATCAAAATATCCAACATAAAGCATAACCATGAACAAACCCTATACCCTAAACCCTAGACCCTAACCCTAAACCCTAACCCTAAACCCTAACCCTAGACCCTGTACTATAGTTATATGTTATGAAATTGGTAGTATAAGCTATAACGTATGTTATGTGCGGAATGTAAGTTCAGTCAATTTTATATTCGGTTATTGAGAAGAACATACGTCTTATGAGTACAAACTCTAAACCACGAGTCCAATACCGTATACCCTATACACTAACCTTAAACCATGAACTATAGTTATGTGTTATGAAATTGTTGGTATACAGTATAAATTATAACGTATGATATGTGAAGAATGTTAGTTAAGTCAATTTTGTATTCAGTTATTGAGAAGAACATACGTCCTAAATCCTAATCTTTCGAACTCTAAACCACGAGTCCACTACCGTATACCTTATAAATCATAGTTAGTAAATACTCCGTTTAATAACACGTTTAATATCCGTATTTAATGAAAAACATGTAAAAAAATATGCCTCTACCAAGCTTTGAACCATGTACCTTGAATTGGAAAGATCATCACAAAAGCCAACTAGTCCAAGCAATTTTTTTGTTACAATTCGAACTTGTTGTTACTTGGATAAACTGAAAGGCAGAGAGACCAGAAAAGTAAAACGAATCCCTAATACCCTAACCTCTCGAGTCTCGTCTATCATCCAATAATCTCATCCCACTCTCGTTTCTGGCCGACCTGCGCGGCTGCGCCGAGAAGACGACACTCACCGCCGCCGCCGCCGCCGAGAAGATCCATCTTGAGCTGAAGAATCTTTGTATAAGTTTTGATGATGATATGAGAGGTATGGGAAACACAATGATGTCCAAGTTCTTGAAATATTGGAAAGACTACAACTTAGTGCTTGCTTTTGGTGTCATTTTGGATCCTCGTTACAAGCTTGGATTTGTCAAATTTTGCTATGAAAAGTTGGGCGAAGAGTACACTTCAAAGCCGAAGGCTATTATGGATGATTTGGAGCTGCTCTTTAAGGAGTACAAAACTCAATCGTCCACTTTACCTAGTCAAAGTGTGGTGCATATGGCTTCTTCGAGCATTCCTTTGGATAGCCACACTGCTGTAAGTATTCTAACTACATTTTGAGTCATTTTGTTGTTTATACTTCTTTCGATCTTATGTCTGATTATTGATGATATGTATTATTTTCAGGGTTTCTATGCTTCCAATATCAATCAGAACACATCTGCTAGATCCGAGTTGGAGTTATATTTGGCGGATCCTTTAATTCCTGCTTATGCAGACATTGATGGGGTTCCTACATTGCTTCCTTTTGAAGTATTGCAATATTGGAAGGATCATCAATTTCGATATCCTCAACTCTCTCGGATGGCAAAAGATGTGCTTTCTATTCCAATTTCATCAGTTGCTTCAGAGTCGTCTTTTAGTTTGGGAGGTAGAATATTATCCAAATGGAGGACTTCCATTTTGTCTGATACCCTTGAAGCTGTTGTGACAACTCGTAATTGGATGCATGGATATAAAATGGGTAAGAAAATTTCTATTCTTTGTGTATACTAAAGTAGGTGAGAGTTTACTTACAATGGTGTTTTTACTTTCAATGACTAATTGTACAGATGAGGATAATGAAGATGCAGAATATGATGGAGAAGAAGTGAGGCTTGTTGATTGATCGCCAAGTGAATTGTCATTTTAATTTGTGAACCTATTTTGTTGGTATGTAAGATGTGACAATGTCAGCTATGTATTTGTATCCTACTATTTTTTATATGGTAGAACTTAGTAAGCAAACTATTATGTATCTTCTTATTATTGGGGCTAGGGTATGAGTTATGACTTATGTACTATTATGAATCTTCGTATGCTAGGTTAATATTTTGACAATGTTATGTGACCAGTTATATTATGTGTGGAAGAAAAAATGTTGTAATTATTAGGTACTGATATATGATTGGCTTAATTAAGTCAATCATGTTTTTCATATGTATGTGTTATCTATATATATTATTTATATACATCAACCAAATATAAAAAATGTTGACAACCCTCCTAGGATTTCTACTTATCTACCGAGACAGTGAGACTATTATGTGATTCAATTAAATGATAATTTTTATTTGTCAACACAAAGTAAACCTTTGTTCTTGGTGGAAAAGATTAAAAAATAATAGGGCAAGTATATGTATATTATCTACATATAATATTTATGCACAAAAATATATTATGTAGTATTATTCGTGCCAATCGGGCGGGTTCGGTTAATCGGGTTCGGGTTAGTCGGGTTACGGGTCAAGCGGGTTGCGGGTCAATCGAGTTCGGGTCAATCGGGTTGCGGGTCAAGCGGGTTGCGGGTTAAGCGGGTTGCGGGTCAAGCGGGTTACGGGTCGGGCGGGTTGCGGATCTTTGACTTTTAGTCCAATCGGGTTGCGGGCGGGTCGCGGATCGGGTTGGTTAGGCGGGTTACTCGGGTCGGGTCATGTTTTGACACCTATACCCCCAACCACATTGTTACCCTTTCAAAAGTCCTACCTGACAAGTCAAGTGGTACACAATCTTTGAGACTCGAACGACAAGCTCATGACAGAGGGATGATAGGGCGAGTGTATCTAAATGTATATGAAAGTACATCACGCTTTTGCATACATTTTTACCCTGACCCCATTGGTCGAGTGAAAGAGACTTTCCATCATCTCTAAAAATCCAAGTAAGATCTATTTGCTCGATCTCTCATGCTATGCTTTGCAATTCCCATGTTTGAACAATTGAGTATGATGAAAGATCAATCATTATTCTAGACTATTCTTATAAATCAAAATCAGTGTATCCCATGTCACATGAATATTATGATCAAATGTCATTTGTAGTGGTTGAAAGCATCTCTATCATGCTACATACTTCATCATCTTTAGCAATCATATGAGATTCACATTTTCCCCAACTCACGGTTGGAGTTCTTGTGAAATTGGTTTTGATTGAACTTAGATTTTTCATGCTTTGCTTGAGGGCAAGCAAATGATTAAGTGTGGTGGAATTTGATAACACTTGAATTATACATATATTCACCTAAACTTTTACATCCTAAAATGACCTAAATTGTACTAAGTTCATTCGATTTCCCAAATTTATGCTTGGTTTTGTGTGTAAGTGATGTTTCAGGTTATTCCATCCAATAAGAAGAAAGAATGAGCTAATTTGGTGCTCGGATGATAAAAAGATGGTTAGGATTCGAAATTTGACGTCGGTGGAACTCGAGCCCGCGACATCCTAGGCGAGGGAATACAGTCGTGCCATTCCGACCGCGTCCCCTTTTGGTGTCAGCATACGAAACCCACTGCATATTATGGTGACGAATCACGGAGAGAGAGGTAATTGAAAATGCTGTGTCAAACCGCAAACTGCATAGTCAATTTACCTCCTGCTAGAAAGAAGGAAACGACTGTCAAAAAGGCTAAGACACCCTGCAATATGGCCACGTTGAAGACCACGTTAACAAATGCCAAGGAGCTGTCAAAGGGTCAAAGTGTGCAGCAACATGGCCATGTCCGAGACCACGTCAACAACAACAGACCCTACATCATGGCCACGTTGAAGCGTCAACAAAAGTCAAGGAGCTATCAAAGGGTCAACGTGGGCAGCAACATGGCCATGTCGGAGACCACGCCAACATCAACACACTCAGCAACATGACCATGTTTACAAACCACTTCAGGCCAATACACCCATGAACATGGTCATGTTCATAGAACATGTTGAGGACAACACACACAGGAAAACGACTGTGTTCCAGGCTGTGTTCTCCATCAACACCTTAAGTTTATGCCACCTCGAAGAAATCATTAAACAACGAACATGGGAACCAACATGGCCGTGTTACCAGGCCATATTGACCATCTGGCCTTGTCTCGCATTCATTTTAGGCAGAATATAACATTTACGAAGCTGCTGGTTGATGGATCTAACACAGTTTGTCATCAGGATCATGTTTAGGGCGTGTCGACCAATTCCAGCATGTTCCAATCATTCATCCTGTCATTTTTTGTACATTTACAAGGGAACACAGCTGTGTTCTAGCCCACGTTCAGAAGAAAACTCACCAATCAGTCTCTGCAAGTACTGACAAGTCGCTCTGACGACCAGCTATGAACACGACCATGTTCTAGGGCGTGTTCAACGTGTTGCTGCCTGTAAATAGAACCTTGAAAGAGAAGAAAGAGGGAGTTGGAAAACACCTTCACTATTGCCTAGAAACCAGTCCAAATCCTGTCCTCATTTCTTGTATTTCATATTAGTGTTGTTGTTTTCAGTTCCCGTCAAAACTCTCATTATTTTTGTATTAATCATCATTATGTCGTACTTCTTCCGTCGTGTTCTTCATGTTCGTATTCAAAGTTGGGAATATTGTATTGTATTGCGTTATTGAGATTAATGAAGCGAGTATCCTATCTGTGGGGATTTAATAATCATTTGAGGTGGTAACTTTATATATATACCCTATTCTTATATCCAATGTTCCTTCGTCATCATCATCATGGTAACTCCCTCCACCTCCATCTTTCTAAACCTCATCATGTCCGTCTTATCTCCTAGTTGTTCCGGATTTGATGAATCCTAATATGCTTTGTATGGATTAAGTGGTATCTTTGACATATTTTTCTCGTCTTACAATCTTTAATCGACTTATCATGTGCAAATCAATAGTACGCGTCTGTTCTATATTTTGTCTGATACATGTAGATGAAATTGCGAGGTAATTTTGAATGTTAGATCTCTCGTGAAAAGAACGAATCGATCGGAGGCACCGGCGATAGGGTCACGTAGTTCCTCTAGATTATCTTAAAAACCTAATACGAAAATTCACAAATCTAGTTAATGCTTTGGTTTAAGAGTCTTGTAAGGCACTATTCACTTGATTCTTAAAGTCGAAAGGGTGTAAATGCATGGGCGAACCGGTTAACACTAAATTGGGAATTTTCACGGTCTAAGACGTCTATGATGAATTCAACTTGTTTGTATAATCTATGTTAGGGGGGTTAATTTCCCGGGCAGCGCCTCCTCCTCTTGATATTACTTTGAAATTGTTTGTTTGTGTCTTGTTTATTGCATGTGTGAAATCCTATACTTGAAAATCAAATAAAAACGATTGACTAGATAATAGGTAAAAGTTTAGTACTAGTACACGAAGTCTATGTGGATATCACCTTACTTCTTGCTATACCGCTCTAGAACGATAGGTACCCTTGGCTATTTTTTCTGTGCTAGTTATGGGCGATCAGATGGTATGGACCAGGTTTTCGTAGCAGAAGAATCCGAGAGTGACGAAGAGATCGCTACACAAGAAGAGATGGGAGATCCAATTGATCAAGTGGGATATATGAATGGGGGACAAATGCAACTAGAGGATCAGATTATGAGGTACTACCTGACCTCTAGGGCCGAGGATCTGAGACAGAGTATTCATCATCCTCAAGTTCTTGCAAATAACTTTGAGGTGTAGACGTCTGTGATACATATGTTGAAGACCTCGGTGGTGTTTAATGGGTTCCAATGCGAGTGTCCACGAGAGTACCTCAATTGATCTCGTAAGCTGATCTACGAGATCAATATTAACAATGTACCATAGGAAGATATACATCTTTGCTACTTCCTCTCTAGATGAAAGGGCTAAGGCATGATTGAAGAACCGTGCACCTGAGTCGATCACGTAATGGGTTGATCCGGTGAGCAAATTAAGAAAGCGATCGCCCACTTTGCGCAGAAGGATGACGGGACCATCAGAGATGCATGGGGAGAGAAACTTAGGTCTCTTCCTGAAATGCCCCCATCATGAATTCTACAACTCCTTCAAGGTGGACAACTTCTACCGGGCCCTTCTTCCTGAAGACCTATAGCTGATTGATTCTGCATGTCAAGGATGTATGTTATCTAAAACTCCACCACAAATGAATAAGGTTTTCGAGGATATGGAAGCTAGAGGTATGATAGGGGAGTAACTAGAAAAGGTCGGCGCCTCCAAGGCAGAGGTGTCCATTCTATAGAGGCTCGGCCATCATCTCTTGAGACCAGAATTTTTGAGCTGATTAAGGAGATGGATCGTAACAGACTGGTTATATGCCAAACAGGTCTAGGCTATGTTGTGCAAGTGGTGTGAGAGTGCGAGTAACATGGTGGAGGAATGCCAAGCGATGAGAGAGTGCAATACGCCTCAAGGCAGCTAGATTTCATTAGCAATGTCAAGCGCATATACCCTTACAATAACAGGTACAATGAGAGATGGCACCAGCATCCTAGATATTCATGTAATTGTACATCCATTGCACCGCTCCAGGGATAATGTCTTGGACTTTTTCCCTGAATACACACGTTCTTAAAAAAAATCCCCAAAATATACTTTTATGAAAAATTCTCAATCTACACATGTTTGGGCATCACCACGACCGTCAAACGCGGTGAAGAAATTCACCGCTGCCAAGGAAAGCTATGAACGCATCACCGCAGCAAAGGAGCGCGGTGAAGGCCTGCCCTAAGGCTGAAACTTCAAACGAACGTAACTTTGCGCTCGGTTATCCGATCGTAGCGATTTTTTTTTATTCAGCATAATTTTTATAGATCTTTCAAGTCGTAAATAGATGTAGGCAGTTTGGTCCCGCCTTCGTCGCGATAAAACGTCGCTTGCTAGCCCGAACGAGCAATTTTTCAATTTCGCCAAACTTTGGAAGACCATAACTTTGTGCTCCGCAATCCTAACGTCATGATTGTTTTTATTTCACATAACTTTTTAAGGACTATAACTTTTACTATGAAGGAATTGTACACAGTAGAACAATTAGCTATCTTCTTATTTCAAGAATCTGTTTTTTTGAGAAATCGTATTAGTTGTTATAATTTCATTCAAAAGATTAATTTATGATCAAATCTCACTAAACTCACTTTCTATATATTTTCCTCTCTATTTTCGTATAACTCATTCTACAAATTTTATTATCAATATTTTCATATGTTCTTCTCTCAATTTTCTCATAATCCGTCATGCATGCCATACTATTCTTCCAATTACTTTCATACTTTTTTTAGTCTCGACTCTTGACATTAATACTAAACTATTCCTCACGTTATTAACATAGGAGTTGCCGCTTTAATTTGCGGTTAATACAATGCTCATCTCCCTTGATTAGCTCTCCCTAAAAAATGTTAGTAAGTACTACGTTGAGTAAGTAAGTAGCAGCCATGTTCGATCAAACATAAGCTTGAACTACTCAAACTCCGCTCAGAATATGCTCTCTCCACTTCTTCGCTCAACGAACCCTTTCAGCTTTCTAACAAAACAAAAACAAAAAACAAAAACAAAAAAAAAAAACAAAAAGTGTGAAAACTTCCAATCATGCCCGGACGACAAAGACTCTCTTAGTTTCTTCTATATCTAAGTAACACATTACCCGCATATCGCCATTCGCCGGCCACCATATCCTGAAATTCGAATCCCTATCCACCGTACAAATGGACTATTCAGTTTCCAACTACGAAACTCTCCTTCCTCTCCTCCTTATACCGCTACTACTTCTCCTTTCAATCAAACACATCCATGCAAACAAGAAGAAAGAACTTCCTCTGCCTCCAGGCCCAAAGCCATGGCCGATTCTCGGAAACATCCCACACATGACCAGAAAGGTTCACCTCACCATGTCCCAATTCGCCAAATCCCACGGTCCCTTAATTTCAGTCAAACTCGGCGCTCAGCTAATCGTCGTCGCCTCTTCTCCGGCAGCCGCCGCCGAAATCCTCAAGACCCGCGACCGTGTCTTCTCGGCAAGATACATAAGCAAATCCAGTCCGTTCGAAGTCAGCGATTTTGATAGAAAGGCAATCGTGTGGGCTTCCACGTGTAACGACAGCTGGAAGTCCCTCCGCGGGCTCTGCAGAACGGAGCTGTTCTCTGGCAGAGCAATCGAGTCGCAGGCCGCCGTCCGGGAGAGGAAAGTCGGTGAAATGGTTGAATTCCTTGCCGGTAGAGAAGGGAAAGTGGTTGATGTCGGGGAAATCGTGTTCGCCACAGTTTTCAATTCGCTGTGTAACCTTTTCTTCTCCGAGGACTTGTTGAGGCTGGATGATAGTAAGGGGAAGAAGGCTAGTGGGTTGAAGAGCCATATCTGGAAAATGATGGAACTTGCAACCACTCCAAATATTGCTGATTTTTACCCTGTTTTGGAACCGCTTGACCCTCAGGGACTGAAGAAGAAGACGGTCAAGGTTGTCACGCAGATGTTTTCCGTTTGGGAGAGTTACATCAGGGAGAGAAGGGAAATTCATGAATCGAAATTCCACGGAGGAGAACCGAGAGGGGATTTCCTGGACGTTTTTCTTTCGAATGGCTTCGACGATGACAAAATCAATTGGTTGTTCTTTGTAAGAATTAATTACAGTCAACTGACTGATTCTTTACTCTGTTTTTTTTTTCCTCTTACTCTGTTCCGGAATTTCGCAGGAATTGCTGACGGCGGGAACCGAGCCGACTAGTACGACGGTGGAATGGGCAATGGCGGAGCTTTTGAAGAACGGGGAAGCAATGTCTAAAGTCCGCGGAGAGCTGAATTTAGAAATTGGGGAAAACACCATTACCGAATCAAATGCCTCTCAACTGACATTTCTGAACGCATGCATAAAGGAGACATTCAGGTTACACCCACCGGTACCGTTCCTTATTCCACGCCGGGCTCCCGAAGCTTGCCAAGTGATGAACTACCTAATACCCAAGGATTGCCAGGTCGTTGTCAACGTGTGGGCAATTGGGCGGGATCCGTCGGTTTGGGAGGATCCCTTGTCGTTTAGACCAGAGAGGTTCGTTGACAACAGGTCAGCAGTTGCGGACTTCAAAGGTCGTGACTTTGAGCTTCTGCCGTTCGGATCGGGTCGCAGGATCTGCCCCGGACTTCCCATGGCGGCTAAACAGTTGCCATTGATTCTAGCTTCATTGATTAAAGGGTTTGATTGGACTCTTCCCGGTTGCGACGATCCGGCCAAATTAGATATGTCCGAGAAGTTTGGTCTTACGCTGCAGAAGGAGCAACCTTTGCTACTTGTGGCTAGGAAACAGAGCACGTAGCAAGTTGTTATTAATTTCTTGCCAGAAAATGGGCCGCTTGTTATTAATAAGGCGGGCAAAGGTCTTAGCTGCTGCCTGTGGATAACAACAGTTTGGAATAAATACACAAACATCCATCTTCCCAAGTCGCCTTACCTAAATTGCTATGTGGTATCTCACCAAAAAATTTTTTTTGCTATGTGGTGGATGCAAAACACTTGTACGGTGATTGGTGCGATATGAATGTAATTGGTTCATTTTTTCATAAAATTGATGAACAAAATATATCTGCATAGTAATAAGTATACACTTTGTGAAGTAAACAGCAATTGTTAAAATTATACACACACCAGGTAGGTTTGTGCCGCGCTTCGTTGCGGCTTGAGTGTTGTTCTTTGATCGTTATTTGCTAACCCGTGCATCAATGTTAAGTGATTTTTTTCTTCCTTTCGCTGTTTTAGTTTGCAAGTAATCATGACGGCATATGAAATTTCTTTTATGGTTAATCAAAAACTCATTAAGCTCTACTTCCGTTAAACTGAGGGTCCTCTCAAATGTACCAGAAATTACAATCTAACGACCATAAAAAAACCATAATCAACTAAGGAATGACAACACACTTCACATCTACTGCAAGCTTATTAGCACAGGACACACTTCATATCTACTTAGCATCATTAGCACAGAACACACTTCGCATCTACGTAGAATCACAAATTTAGTCTCTGATCGGATCTGGATTATCAATTGGTTGGTAGAAAGTATAGGTCCCTCCCCATAGCATCTTCTAATATATTTCTTTCCATAGCGAGCTTATTACAGCACTCCGTGGCAAATGACAAAGGAATTATAAGACAACAGAAGACAAAGAAACTTAAGCATGTTCATACACTCTATAATCTTATCGAAGGTTTTAGTCAATCACATTAAACAATTTGTACAAAAACAACCCAACCTTATCAAGCTGCTATCAAACAAATTTGCAGTAAATTTCGTTTTCTTCTTGGGATTAAGTCTCTTTAATCTAAATATAATTATGTTCCATCATTATCTACCATGTTGCAGTTGGCTTCTTTTGGATAATTAGTCATGATCCTACTAACTGTTATGAGCATCTACAGAGGAATATGTGGCAGGCCAAATAAGAAGGAAACTTACAACATGGAACTTTTGTTTCATACAGCAGCATTCAGGATGAAACCATGCTTGCAATTGAACAAAAAGCATTGGTAACACAGAATAGCATCATGCTTTATTATTTCGCTTTACTCGATATAAAAAAATAAAAAATTGTGGACCATTAGCAATAATACATGTAACAGAATAATCATTTACTTATCAATCTTACAACACCATCATCAATGCTGAAACCCAATGGGTTCTCTACTTTGGAAACTGATCTCCTACGTCAAGATATGAGAGCCTCTTCTTTCTCCAATTCTCATCCATTAACATCTAGAAGGCTGCTCCTCACAATAATCAAAACTGAAAGTCTGAAATATAACGAACAGCTTACCACCATGTTACTATCACCCGTACTTAAATCTTTCTCAAAACCCACTAGCCATATCATATTGGAGATGAAGAAGATCCCCCACCCTCCCCTGCAGCCTCCTCTGCTTTACACTGGCTACCATAAACCAAAACCAAAACCAAAACCAAAACCAAAAAGAGAATATAGACTCAGGTTAATTATGAATTTACAACAACACCTTTAAGGCTCCAACAGCCTTCCACCATCCCACTTGTAAGAGAATCTTCCTTTGAGCAGAGTGGTATGATACATTGTCCAAACGATCCATGCAAGCCGACAGTAATAAAAATTGAATGAGAATCTTAAGGTTCTTTAAGTCACCTGTCCCAGAAACATCACCAACTTATTCACAACCATCCAAATAACATAGGAAATCAATTAATAGTTGATGAATAGTTAAACGAAACTGAATCATTACCTATGGGCAAATTTTACTGACTTCGTGAGTTGTAATCTTAGTTAGTGGCTAAGTGCCTCCATGTGATACTGCTAACCTGTTTCAACCTTCCCAATCTCAGTCCATCCGTCCGGCTCGAAATTGCATCTCACACGTCGTTGATTCACCCGAGTCCCAACGTCGAGAGATCAACTCCGATCTCCCAAAAGAAATCAAAGCCCAGATTGGGGACACCGCCGGCCAGGAACACTTCCGAGCCGTCACCTCCGCTCAGCGGCGCCGTCGGTGCTGTCATTGACATCACCTGGCGCACCACCTTGGAAAGCCTCAGCCGCTAGCTCCAGGAGGAAAGCGTCACCGCCGTATTCTTGCTCCCTCTCGCCAATAATTTCTGGTGCTCCTTGGAAAGAGGGATTGAAGACGATGGTGAGTCGGAGAGCGATGAAAATCGAGAAACAGGTGGAACAAAGTCCTCTTCAACCTCCGTTTACCAATGCATTGCAACGCGTTGAAGAATGAATGGTAGGTTACCAAATAAATCACAGTAGCGCAGGTTCGAAGAACTCTTACGGAACAGTACCCACCTTATATCTTTAATAATATCCTAGATATATCAAAACTTTTGAAACTATTTTGACTAATTTACCTTTTTTGTTAAAAACATTAGCGTCATCATTGACTCTATAATTAACGTGGAATACAAACCTAGAAAATCCTAGGATTTGATTACTTGCATGGCACTATACTGCATATAGAGTTTTTGGCGCCGTTGCAGGAGAATTTTTTATATGATTTGAAAGTAGCTAACCTCTTGTGTTTTATTATTATAAATAAAAAGAAAAAAGGTATTACACTCTAGTTGGTCTTGTTTTGCAGATCTCAAACTCGAATAAGATATTGCAGATCGTACAAGAACGTGATACTATAAGAATCTTCAAACTCGATTGATCGAGCATCACTATAAGAAATATGGCCATCCGATATCTATTCAAGTAATCTAGGCCAAAGGCATTAAATCTCAAAGCAAGAAGCATCCATCAAGCGTCAAGCATTAGAATAAAGTCCTTATGGAGGATGATGGTGGAAGCATCGAAGCAGTTCCCTGAAAAAGATGATGAAAATCTCGATGAGATGAAGTCAATAGGCGAGACGTGCGGAGTTGACCCACGTATGATGGAGATGCTGCAAGCTATCGACACCACTAATGCCAGGAGCTAGGATTATGAAGCTATTGTGGAGAGGAACTAGTCGATGATAAAAGCATCCTATGTGGTTAAGAAGCCAATGATGGGCACCTTAAGGAGATGCATGAAGGATTTGGAGATATCACAGACGATGGAGACCTCCAGAACCATGGAGAGGAAGGTCATCTAAATGCTATTCCATTTGGTGAGGAAGAAGATGGACTTACAACTCAATCTTTAGAACAAGCAGAAGCTGCAATGGACGAAGAAGGTTGCAGTCTTAAAGAATATGCACCAATTTTAACCTTCTTGGATTCGTGGGAAGACGTTGATGGCATCACACAACTTGAGGGATTTCAGCACTTCCTACGTTATATTCAATCTTTATCCTCAAGCAAACCGCATATCAGAGTAGTATCAACTATTGGAAACGTCCATGAGAAAGAGACCGAGTGTGATGATCCCCTTACACATCTTAGTCAAGGTTTAGAACAACCCTTGGAACCCATAAACCTTGAACATGAGGAAGTAGAGGCGAAGATGTCACCTAAGGATGGTCAACCTTAAATGACGAATAAAGGTGAGGAGCCACTAGAGGAGTAACCTTCACTACTAATCCATTCAAAGAGGGAGCCTAAAGAGAAGCCTGTCGAGGAGCATAAAGACGAAAAGCATAAAGGCCAGGAGCCACCATCTAGAGATGTGATGAAGGATCAGATCAACATGACGACAAACCAAGGAATGAAGCATGATACCACCATCATTCAAGATATCATGGGGGAGATCATCAACAAAGGAGGAGTATCGAGTTCAAACTTGTTGAAATAAGAGTAAGGAACATCTAGCTCAATGTAGGACACTTCAAGCCACACTCACCATGAGTTAAACTCGAGTTGGGAGAAGGAAATTTGCGAAGAATGCAACTTTGATCTTGGGAAAGAATGATCCTCCACATCATCTTCTACATCAACAATAATGGGAGAAGCGCAATGAATAGAAATCCCACCTACTATCGAAGCTCTTTGTGCAAAGAAGAATGATGTCATTCCAGAATTTGAAACCCATGAAGAAAACTACAAAATCTTGGTGGAGATACACCATAGTGTCGAGCTAGACCTCTCTCGACTCCTCGGGGTCTTCTATTGTACAATTACTCATACTAACCATCAAAGACATACACGAAAATCATAAATTCATTTAGAGATTTTTATTCAACAAACAAGCAAACAAGAAGAGTAAAGTTGTTTAGGTGTTTTTCATTTATAGAAGCATAAAAATAACGATACGTTATTGTAGAAAGCAGTGAACTCAAGTAATATCATGCATACTAGGGATCAATCTCAACCTGCATTGATGGTTCATCTATTGTAACACACTATCCCTTCGGCTATGGCCACTCTCTACTCGTGCATGCGCCTCTTGCAATAGAGATTTAACTAGCTAATGCGTGCCTTCGCTTCATGTCATCATCTAATTAATGAAGAACAAAGAAGTTAGTATACCATATAGTTAATTGTTGGATTTTACAACCATAACCAAAATCTATTACTTCGATTATCTAATAATCAAGCATTGTTCCTACTCGACAAATAGATGGTTTATCATTCCCTCTATACTCGAATAGCATCAATGGGGTATCAATAGATGGTAATTTCCTAACAACCTAGATAATGCTAACCACAATGCTTAAAGTAGCATACAAAAAAAGCTTAAGCATTAGTGATAAAGGAACATTTATACAATATAAACATCAATGACCAGCACATAAGCATCGAAACTAAAATAATCATCCATATATAGGAACAAGGCATCGAGATTTACATAGATAAACACAAGCATGGGATGAAATTATAGCATTCATTGGCATAACAATAAACAATTTCACATCTTCATACAATCCATTTCTACTAGGCTACAGAGAAGATAAGGAAGGTACCAACATTGATTATGTCAACATATCCTTAACTACAGACCCATTTATTTCGACTAGGCTATTACTCATGTACACCCTGTTTGGAAATCAGGGGGTGCAAATTGAGGTGCAAATTGTAGGGGGTAAATTTATGGGAGTGTAAATTGTTGTTTGAAAGAAGAAGTAGGGTAGGCTTGGCAAATTGAACCGAAACCCAAAAATCCGATCCGAACCCGACCCGACAAAATCAGGCAAAATCCGTTGATGATGGGCTCCGGGCCGGACTCGGATTAACCCGAGAATAAGAGAAACGGGCTTCGGGCGGGCTTCGGACTCGAAACTATCCGCCCCGACTCCGCCCCGTACATATATATATATATACCCTCTAATCATAAACCCTAGGTTAGATTACTCCCCTCGACAAAACTCTTCCTCTCCCATTTTCTTCTCCGCCTCCAACCCTAGGCTAGATTCTACCAATCCCGCCAATCCGTTTGCTCCTGCTGCATCGAATCCCTAACATATCGGTCGCATATCTCCCATCGATTATCCGCTTTCCTTCCCGATGATGATAATCATTTCCCTTTCGATCATGGCTTGCCGCATGCAAAGAGAATTTCTCGCAGTGAAGTCGAATAGTCGATTCGGCTGGAGATTGAAGTTGGAGTATAAATACGAGGTGGGGTTTATTTTTTTGTTCATACTTCTCTCAAGTCTCAATCTCTGTACTCTGTTTCTCAGTTCTCAGACTAACTTCTCATCCTTTTACTGCTTGTTTGGTCTTTGGCCTTGTGCGTGCGAGAATCATCTTCACATCCATTCCCACCCGTTGTTTGTGCCTCACTCTGTTTGTTCAAGGTAAATATCCACTTTCTTTGTTTCACTTTTGATCATTGATGCTGGTTAATGATTGAGGGATTTGCTTGATATCCTACTAATCCTTGTTCCTCTGTTTTTTCGGCAGGAACAATGTCAACAGAGGGAGTTCAACCCACTCCACAAGATAATGACAATAGTGCAAATCCAGTTCTGTCTGCACCTACTGGAAATGGGACTGTCACAAACCCAACTCCGCAGGCAGCAACTACAAATGAGCAGAATGGCAATGATGGGAATGGTAATGTTGCCGAGGAATTACTCGACGTTGGTAAGCTTAAGAGTGCTGTTTGGTTACACTATACCAAAGTTCGAATTAATGGAATTGTCAAGGCTAAATGCAATTATTGTAAGAAGCAATTAGGTGGGGAATCAAATAATGGTACTACCCACCTAAAGAATCACACCAAAATATGTGTTTAGAAGAAAATTAGGGATGGTAGTCAAAAGATTCTCGACCCTCACTATTTGGCTAATGGAAATCAAGACTTGGTTGCTACTGCTTTAAACTCTGATGTTTCGAAAAGGGAGCGTGCAATTGCTATTACAATGCATGAATATCCTTTATCGATGGTTGATCATCTCTATTTCAAGAGATTTGTCTGCTCTCTTCAACCATTGTTCACTGTTCCATCGAGGAATACTATAAAGAAAGAGGTCTTTAAGATCTATGATATTGAAAGAGCTAAGATTCAAAGTCTGTTTGATATCAACAGAGGTAGAATTACAATAACTACTGATTAGTGGACTGCCACCAATCAAAAGAAGGGGTACATGGCTGTTACAGCTCATTATATTGACAACTCGTGGGTGCTTAGGAGCCATATGCTTAGGTAAGACATGTAGTTTGTATCTATTTGAATCATTGGTTTCTGTTTCTTAGTTTTTGTTTCATTCCTAATTGCAATTGTTTCTTTGTCTGCTCGTTCTTGTGCAGATTTGCATATGTACCAGCACCTCATACTGCTGAAAGGTTGGGGACAGTGTTGGTTAACTGTTTGCTCGACTGGAATGTCGACAGTAAGGTATCCACCATTACCCTAGACAATTGTAGCACTAATGACTCTATGATTCGTGTCATACAGTCAAAATTAGTGTTACCTGACTTGATAAGTGAAGGTGCTTTGATACATATGAGGTGTGCTGCTCACATCTTGAATTTGATTGTGAAAGATGGTCTGGATGTTGTTAAAGAGGGAATTGATAACATTAGGAGCAGTGTTGTTTACTGGTCTGCTACCCCTAAAAGGCTAGAGTTCTTCCTTGAAACTGCAAAGCAGTTAAAATTCACTTCTGAGAAACGACTTGTTATGGATTGCCCTACTCGGTGGAACTCCACCTTTAAAATGCTATCTGTTGCTATTCCTTACAAGGAGGTTTTCACTAGACTGAAGCAACGTGATGCTCAATATAATTTCTTGCCATCGAATGAGCAGTGGCAATTTGCTGCACTTGTTTGTGAGAAACTTAAAGTTTTTAGCTCTATCTCTGATTTGTCCTCTGGATCGAAGTATCCAACGACTAATCTGTTCTTCCCTCGTATTTGTGAGTTGAAACTCAAGATTCATGAGTGGTGTGTTGATACCAATGAATTTATTCAAAAGATGGGTTATTCTATGCTGGAAAAATTCAGCAAGTACTGGGACGAGATTCACAAAGTCCTTGCTATTGCTGTGATTCTAGATCCACGGTATAAGTTGGAAATTGTTGACTACTGTGCTAAAAAATTTGGTGTTGAATTTGATGGCTATTGTTTGGAATCTGTTAAGGACATATTATCTGATCTGGTATTGGAGTACCAAAGTAAAATGAATGAGGAGAGGAATCTGAATGTTTCTGGGTATGTTGGAGTTGAGTCCTCTGCTCCTAGCACCACTGATTTGCACTTTGATCGATTTGTGAGCCAAAGAAAAAGAGCAAGGGTTACTTCTGTCCATACTGAGTTGGACAGTTACCTCAATGAGGAAATTCTCCCTCGTTCTGCTGAGTTTGATATTTTAATGTGGTGGAAGCATAATGGTCCAAAATATCCCACTTTGCAAGCCATAGCAAGGGATGTTTTGGCTGTTCCTGTTACCTCTGTCGCATCTGAGTGTGCATTCAACTCTGGAGGTCGTGTTTTAGACCCTCATAGGAGCAGGTTGCACCATGCTACTGTGGAAACACTTGTGTGCACAAGAAGTTGGTTGCAAGCTGAGTTGGCTGGAGGTAAACTCTTAACCCTGTTAAGTTAATCTTTTTGTTCAATTTCATTGTTGTTTTAGCATGTTATGTAACTATTTTGACTTGGCTTGCATTGGTAGATGATGCTGCTGCTGGAGCAGGAGTGTTGGAAGGATGTTTCTCCCCTACAAGTGAAGCCAATCTGGTCCAGCTCCAACCTGATGCTGAAACTACTGAAGGTAATAAGCAAAAAACCTTGTTTCAGTTGTCTGATTTCTTCCAGCCTTTGATATATGTCAATGAGATTGAGATAGTTTGTTTAAATGTGTAGAGCAAGCCCCTCGTTTCAAGCTTCTTGAAGATTAATCAAGATTTGTGAACTGATACTTAGCAGCAAGATGTAAGTAAAAACTTTTGATTTCTCTTAGTACTTTAGTTGATTTCATGATTTGTGAATTTGAATCCTTAATAACAGTTGTTTTTCCTCATTTTTCAGGTTTTGTTTGAGTTATGTTGCCTTGGCTGCTGGGTGGAACCATGGAATGCAGAATGCTGCATTGTTGCTGCTGCTGGAAAGTGGAGTATGGAGGCCTGAAGTGAAGTCTTTATCTTGATGTTGTGTTGCTGCTGCTATCGAAGCTATTCTCGAGTAGTATAGATGTTCTGCTAGTTATTTAAACTTTTGTTTTGCTAATACAATGGTCTTGGTCACTTTGGATTTGATGGTATTTTAGGATTGGATGTTTTCTGTTGAATGTTTTGTTCTTTTGCTACTTCTCCAGTGCATTCTGGTTTCTGGATTTGACGTTATGAAGTTCATGCTTCAGCTTCACGTAAGAATTTGGTTGTGTTTTTTTAATTAATGAACTAGTCGGATAAGTTCCGGGTCCCCGACAAACCCGACATCCGAAAACGGGCGGGCTTGGTTGCTATTTTACATCCGATAACAGCGTTCGGTCGGGGATTCCCCGAACCCGAAGTTCCGACGGGCGGGTAACGGATCCATATACATCCGACCCCGATCTGCCCGATTGCCATCCCTAAAGTAGGGGTGTAAATAAGTGTGAGATTGTATTTAATTAATAATATCTTATCAGAAACATAATAGAAAAATAAAAAAATTATTTTCCCCATCACTTATCTCTCCGACTCTCTTTCTACGTTCAGCCTTTCCTCCCCATTCCATTCTTCCTTCTCTCCAATTCTTTCTCTCTGTCTGACACCATTTTTTCCTTCTTGATCAAATCGACCAGACGACCACAATGTATCATCTTCTTTCTCTGCCTTTTTGCCTCTCCATCTTCCTTCTCTGATTTCTCTAACTCTCTCTCTCTATATGGTGGAGTATTCTGTGCACCCACTTTTTCGGGTGCACTCATAATTGTCATTCTGAGCATGCGATTCATGTCAAAGCAGTATCAATAGTTGCTTATGATAATATGAACAAGAAGCACATGAATTTGAAAAAAATTCATTCAAAATTTACTTTAATTCGATGGATTTAGGATTTAGGGATTTTAGGGTTAGAGTTTAGGTTTACAATTTGGGATTTTGGGTTGGGATTCAAAATTGAAGGTTAAGGGGTTAGGGTAATAGATTGATTTGTTATGATTCTATGTCATATCATCATATTAGATTGATTGTACTAATTAAAGTTTAAAATTTGATTTATTATGGACACTTTTAGAGTTTGGTGCACTTAGTGCACCCAAAAAAGTAAGTGCACTGAAGTAGCTATAAGTGTCAAAATAGAACCCGACCCGACAAACCTGCCCGATCAACCCGACCGCAACCCGAATTGACTAAAAGTCAACAACCCATAACTCGTCCGACCCGCAATCCGATTGACCCATAACCCGATTAACCCGCAACCCGACTAACACGCAACCCGATTAACCCGAACCCGATTGACCCGCAATCCGATTAAACCAGCAACCCAATTGACCCGAACCCGATTGATCTGTAACCCGTCCGACTTAACCCGAACTTCACCTAATCACTTGAATAATTATTATATTATATAATACATAGTTTTTCAAAATAAAATTTTTTATTCTAAATTTAGGTAAACTTATTTTTTCATTTCGTATAAGGAATTAAAAAATATTAAACTCACTTGACATTATGTATTTTAAGAAAATTACAAAAATTGAAACATGAAGGTCACTTGAACAGTAAATTCTTTAACAAAATTAAAAAGTAAATATGAAATCTAAAATTAGCCGAGTGTGAATATTAATAATGAAGAATTAATAATTGAGATCATAGACAATATGGTTAGGGTATTGGTATAAGGTCAAATGGTTTAGAATGTATATGGTTAGGATATAAGGTATTGATGGTTTTGACGGTTCTAAGTTTTTTATTAACATATGTTCACTTGAAGTCATTTAAAATCTTTAACGGCAAGAGATCCCCTTTTAATTTGTGTTATGGTAAGTGGTTTAGGGTATAGGGCATATGGTGTAGAGTATATGATATATTGTTAGGGTATAGGATATGTTGTTAGTGTATAATGTATTGATGGTTTAGGGGTATACGAACAACAACATATATTATCTTAATATTGTCCATTGAGAGTAAGGCTAAGTGTATAGGATTTATGTTATTAAGTAAGTTATCACTACAAGAAAAAGGGTGTTTTGTGTCGGTTGTGTTGTGTCGGTTCATTTAACAGACACAAAATATTAGATTCGTGTCGAAAATTTGTGTCGGTTTAGCAACTGACACTGATTTTAGTTGTTAATGTTAGTCATTTTTGTGTCGTTTATGAACCGATACAAATTTTAGATTCGTGTAAGTTACAATCGACACTAAATAAAAATATATTTTCACAAAAATAATTTTTTTGCTTATTTATGTCGGTTATGTTTGGACCGACACAAATAATTCGAATTGTGTTAAAATTTATATTTTGGGGAGGGTTTAGCTCTGAAATTTGTGGTGCTCACCGTCCAAATTTTTTGGTTCTGAAATTTTCAAATGCCCCGCCCACTGAAAATTTTCAAAAGGAACCCTTCACTTGTCAGATCAAACAAAACCCACCCTTAGACCATCCCCAACGCTTGTCAAAGGCCCCTTTCATTGTGACGTGACATTTTATTTGCCTCTTCCATAGATGTGGTGCCTATTTCAGAAAGTGGGATCCCACTTAATGAAATAGCAAATGGTAGAGCAAGTGGGTGGAGAGTGGGCTCCATCCCATATTTGATATTTTTTTTTTCATTTTCATTTTGTTTTGAAATTATAATTTTAATAACAAATGATAAAAAAAAGGAAAGACCTTTTTTTATGTCTATGTATGTGATGTTTTTTTTTTCATTTCCTTTTTTTTCAAACTATCAAAAATTCATTAAGTTTGGATAAATTAAATTTGTAGATTCTGAAAGTGTAATACGAAACAAAGTTCACGTACGAAACAAAGTTTGACTAAAGCTATAATATATTTTTCAATGAATTAGTAAATTTATTTCATTATTGATAATCAAATAATTACAATATATTATTTTAATTATTTGATACATCTTAAATTGATAAAATCATATCGGTTAGATAAAATGAGTTGATGTATTAAAAAGTTAGTTGGACCCACCATATGAAATAGATAGTGGATTTCGTGGATGTAGAGGAAATGCAAGTGATATGTGGTGAAATGGAAAAAAGTTGCTGATGTGGCAGTAGGGGCCACATATGAAATAGAAATTGTATTTCATGGATGTGGATGGTCTTAACCGTTCTTCCTTCTTATTTCGATTGAAAATCCTCGAAAACCGAGACCTAAAGAGGCGGCTTCAAACTCTCTTCTTCCCCCAATCCTTCTCTCACTAAGCCGACGGCGACTTGGCCCCATAGTTGATGTTCCTCCCTTTTGCCCTTTCCTCCCCTTTCTTCTTTCTCGGGTACTACAGTTCAATTCGGAAGCTGGGAAGGCAAGAAATGGAGAAGCCCGACTCTGAACAACCTAGCCGCGCTCCTCAACATCGCCTCTCCGAGCTCCAAGCTTCTGTCCAGATGTCGCAGTAGCACCGTGCATCCTCGCCGTCGCCGCTCCGAGCAGAGGCCTCGTTGCCCAAGCTCCGAGATCTTTCCCTGTAGTCGTCCTGGATTCTGATCTAGGCCAATCTGGAGATCTGGGTTCTGATCTGGGTTAGTGAGGATAGGAGGAGAGGGACTCCGACGCTGCCGACGGGTTGGAGCAGGTCTCCTCTTCTTCGTCACCAAATCATCGCATCCTTTGCCACCGATGCCACCGACCATGCTCCACTCGGCCACTACGCTTCAATTGCGCATTAATTCATTCATTCATTCAAAGTATAATAGCTCAAAACAACGGACACTGCACACACAGATACAAATTCATATTCACACAGATACAAATTCCTATTCATTTGGACCTAATATTACTATTCACCTGACATTCTTCTGTGCATTCTCTTTGGAGGAGAGTCTGTGTGTCAGCTACTGGCAGGAAGTCGATGTGTTCCACTTGGTGGCTGCCGTTTTGCCCTGCGGTTTCTTTGCCAGGTAGTCTGTATGTGAGATTTGTCCTTCTGATGGGATGGCCATTGCGACTTTTTAGGCTCATTGGACTGCTATGGACTGGCCCTTGGCGATCGATCGCGTTGGTCACAGAGATAGTTTTGGGGGCCGTTGCTTTCTGACCGAGTTACGTCATGACGTGGGGTTTGCTGATGGGTGCTTTGAGCGCTGAGTGGGTTCTTTGGGAGTTGTAGCCGCCATTTTCCTTCTACTTTTTCCCTTCGCATTGGAAAGAGTTGCGTTGTTCAGGTGTGCGAGAATCAATACTTGGGTAGTGGGTTGTGTAAGGGATGGTTGGGTTATCGAGGTAGGGGCTTTATTATTTCAGAACATGGTTGTCACGCCGGCCGGCGTGCCACCGGTTGTACCGGGTTCAACCGATACCGGTCATAAAACCGGCGTGACACTGGTTGAACGACATGATCGATATACGAATCTCTAAGTCAAATGACTTTAATTTAGGGAATTTAATTGATAAAAATTATTTTATTATTTATTTTATGAGTATAAAAGTTAAATATTGATGTTATTTGTTGGATTCAAGTATAAATGTTTAGGTATTGACGTTAAATGTCATGTTTAAATATGAGTATTTATAATTTTATTTGTCATATTGACCAAATTGAACCGGCATAAACCGGTATGTGCCACCGGTTGAACCATTCCACTTGCTAAACCGGCACACTGGCATAAACCGGTTTGACAACCTTGTTTCAGAAGAAGAGGGTCTCCCTCTATCACATTTGGTTCTTTTGACGCTCAGTTTGTTCTCGCTTTCTCACACCTCATTTTCTCTCCATTCTCATTTGCTTTGTTCTACCTTTCGATGGATTCTGCTCTGCTGTGCAATTTGAGGGGAGGGAGCCGGGATGTTACTCTGCATCTGCGTCTGCTTCATATGTGGCTCGCAAATACGCCTTCGGGTTCAAGGATTTTCAACCACTGTTGGCTGTGGGCTTATCAGATGGTGAGTGTTTGTGAACCGTTTGCATTCTATGGCATATTAAATCATTTGGGGGTGGGGTCCTTGGATTGTGGATGTTCTCTTTCTTTGCTCTTTGTTAATAGCTTTTAGAGTCGTTCTTAGCCTTGTTGCGACCCTCTGTTTTGTTTTGGAGTTTTTCATGGCCTTCAGTTTTATTTTCCTTCTATTTGTGTTTGAGCTTTCGTGGTTGTCTGTGTTCATTTTGAATTTCTTTTTCCTTTTGAGTGCTCATGTTTGTGTGCGAAATGCAGGAATGCTGATCCAGTCGATTGCTGATCCTGAGATGGCGGCAGATACGAAGCGCGCTCTTCGCGTTGGTGCCATCTATGTTGTCAGCCGGTTTGACCTTCAGTCGTTAAGGGGGCTGTACCGGGCTTGCATTTTTTTTATCTAACTATCAAGTTGACCGAGACGACAGGGTTTCAACTCTGCACTCTTTCGGCTGCTGGATTCCCGACTGATTCTTTTGAGATTGTGTCGTATAGCCAGTTGTAGGGCAGGTGTGGAAACCATGCTATCCTCACAGGTTGTTCTCTATTACCTTTGTTCTTTTTTACATTCAAGGTTCTTATATGCTTAGTTGCGGACTTGATTAATGATCCCTGTTATTTCCTGATTTGTGTTCATGGGTTTCTGTGTTGAAGATGTCATTGGTCACTTGCATGCCATCGGCGGCGTTGGGCATCAGATCACCGAGTTTGGACCTACTCCCAAGCAGATGTTGGTGCTTGAGAATCATATGTATGTGTGTCAGTCATATTTGTTGCTTTTGAGAGTTTACCTTTTTAGCTTGCTTATTGTATCCTGACATGAAATGCTCCTGGATTCTTTAGGGGTGAGACAGTTACCATCACTCTTTGGAATGAACTTGCTACTATTCTTGAGCGTGTTGCTTTAATCCAAGCTGACTTGATTGAGCCTGTTGTTTCGGGAGTCTCATGGTCTCTCTGGTTAATGGTATGTGCTTCTTTGTGCTCATGTCAAGGATCCCTTTGGGATCCAAAGGTTCTTTCGGTCCCTTTTGTCTTTCTTTTGCATTTACATTGTTGCTTTCATTGGGTTTCTTGTAGAAAATTATGTGTGCTCCAGTTCGTCGGCTACTAGGGTGGTTGTTAACCCACATATTCCAGAAGCAATTCATTTGGCCACTCAGTAAGTTCTTTTTAGTTTTGTGCACCTGTTTTCAGTGATTTTCCAGCCCTTTTTATTGCTTCTGATGTTCTTTTGTTTTCAACTCAGCTTTGGGGGGGCGAGGGATCCTGTGGCGGAGTTGCCAGTGCAGTTTGCCACGGCTGAGGCAAATGCTGCTGATGCTGCAAATAGTGCCCGAACCATAGCTGACCTGTTGGACCTTCATACTCTCGGAGGATCTGTGGTATGCATCGAGTATGTTTGCCTTATGTTTACTGTATGCGTGCTTGCGGTGTTTGGTGTTTACTCTTTTTTTCCCTTTCCGTGTTATGATGTCATGGTGTTTAGGATGCCAAGTACCATTGTAGTGGATTTGTTAAGTCTGTTGAGTCTCGAAATCCCTGGTATTACAATGCTTGCAATATGTGCTTGAGGAAGTGCTCTACCTAGAGCAGGAGCTGGTTATTGGTGCCCAGAGCATTGGGAAATTTATGAGCAGCAGATTAGAGTTGGGTGAGCATTCTGTTATGTACCCCTGTAATATAAGTTTTCAGTTTATGTTCATATGATTAGTTTACTTGGTTTGCTTTCTAATGCAGCATGTTATCTCATGTTTGTGGATTTTCAGTTATAAGATGCAGCTGACTTTGAGGGACTCAACCGGGGAGGCTCCATTTATAGTTTTCGGTTCCTGTGGCAAGAGAACATAATCTGTTCTCACAAACATCTGAATGACATATTTTGAATCATTACCAAGTACCTCATTATTTGGCTTTTATACAAAATCAAATTTCTGTCATGCTCACCACGTGCAGCTCTCTGACAACAACTTGAAGCCCCTAAATATCTGATGAAACCAGGTCCAACTTTAAATTATGGGATTTTGCTGTTCAGTTCTTGGTGTTCTTCTTATGTTCATCATCCAAAATTTTAGGTCCACACATTAATCAAACAAAATGAAACACTGAAGACAATGGTCGTTTGTTAGTTAAACGCATAGTAGTGGGCATCCATTTAATTGTCAGGCCCGGGTACACGTTGGACTTGGATACACAAATTGACTATTATTTGTTGGCCTTTTAAGAACCCAATTCTAACTGTGGCCTTATAAAATAAAATCAATTATAAATCAGCAACTTTGGTTATGAGAGGTAGTCGGCCACCAAAATCTATACTCTTTTTTCGAATATATTACCCAAACCCATGGCTGAAGATTATCATGATTGTCGGATTAGAAAATATATTGAATATATCATTGCATCGATTTATCACAAGTCCGGGCGCAGAGCGCGGGCCACGATAACTAGTTGCTTATAATTAGGGGTTGCATGTAACGAGAACAATTGGGGGTGCATTTCATTTGGGGGGTTTTCTTGGTTTTAAATGCTTGTAACGATTGGGGGTTTACTTGTTTGAATTGGGGTTGCTTGTAAGGAGAACAGAGAGAACTCAGCCACCTGCCGGATCTGCTTCAACGGCGACAGCCGGAAGTAATTTTTTTAAATATATATATATATATATCACCAGTCCACTCAATCAAGCTCTTCGGCCGTCGTCATCGATCTTCCCACATCGCCGTCAATCTTCCTCAGGGAGAGATCTGAATAGCGATGATAAGGAAGGCGGGAGATCGGAAGCCACAGGCGAGCGAGAGACGGGGATCGAAATACTAGATCCGATAAGTTTTGGGAATGCATGTTGTTGTTTGAGTTAATTCTTATTCTTGGGGGTATTTATCTACTTCTTTTCTTGATTCTGGATTCTTGATTATGTTTTTTCAGGCATTACCAACGGTAGTGCAGCACTGCTTCTCTCCCTCTCTCATGCCAGCGGAGAAAGTTTCACCTGAGGCAGATTTGACGAAGGAAAGAGATCATAGCTATGAAGAAAACAAATTCAGGAAAAAAGTGTGAAGTCGTTAAGCTTTCTCTCTCCACTTATGCAACGGTTTGGGGGCACACTCGAACAGTAGATTTGCGCCTTCTATCGTCCGCCCCCTACTGTTCAAAAGTTTGCCGAACATGTGCAAAATCATCGGGAAGGGCATTTACCTCTCGAATTTACGTCCCCACATATACGCTCTTTCAAAATATAGCGGTAGAGTGTAACAGAGAATTTGTGTGTGTACAATCTTACTAAGTTAATTGGTCTTGTCCTCTATTTATAAGAAAAATCACAGCCGAAAAAGGTCCTAAGTCGACTAGGAAACACTCTATTAATCATTGTGGGCTAAGTAAACTTCTTCCGCACAGGTATAAGGCTGGCGGCAGTAGGGCAGAGCTTGGATCCACCATTTTTTTTCTTTGTGGGTTGGGCTCCTCTGTCCTTGAACTACTACTCAATTCAATTTGAGTGCGTCTTGTGGTGTTCTTGGCTACTGGCGGTTGGGCTTGTTGCTGGGACTCTGCTCGTTCTTTCTTCAGCTTAGACTGTGATAATTTTCGAAAACATATTTATTGTGTGTGCATAATATGATTATTTCATGATATGTCTGAGATATATGATTCTTGATTTAGGGCCAATTGACTATGGAATGGTTGAAAAACCATTACCATTCTGTGTTAGAGTTTTTTTTTATGTATGTTTCAGGTTAAGAAAATGAGAAAATTACAGCACAGGCAAATTGCAGTAACACAGGCTTTGAGGAATTAATTTCGTGATCATATGCGACTGGGCCGACCCTTTTTAATTGATGTTGGTCCACACGAAACATGGCAAGAGGATGCATTATTTGGAATTTGATGGACCAAGTAGTTTGTCCTTTTTTTTATAAGGATTTGGAACGCAGCGTTGGACGAGGGAGCAAGGGAAGAAAAACGAAATTCCTTGGGCTTCTATTTACTTGGACTGGAATAAAAAGACGGGGGAGAGGAATTAATCTGGAGGGAGCAAAGGACGAGGAGCTAGCGTCGAGCGAGGAGAATTCTTTGGAAAAGGAATTGGCGATTGGCGAACGAGCGGAGAGAAGCAGCTCTTGCGGCGATCGAGTGCAGAGCAGCGGGAAAGAAAATTTCAGTATTCTTTTCCTTTTGCTTTGATTCGTGACATGATGATTAAGATTGTTTGGAAGTTGCGATAGTTTTGTTGAGATTGTCATTATGCATGTATTGTTTACAATGCATCATTTTTTTGTTTTTTAGCAGAAACAATACGTGGATTGTTTATGTGATGTGACAGAAACTATCACTCATTTTGAGTGATTGTTATATCTCAACTTTTAGTTGTGATTGTTGAGATAGTTGAGTTGAGATTGTTTTGTCTCAGCTTTTAGCTTATGCGACATACACAATCACACATACCAAACGTTGTATTCTACTATGCATCAAATTCGACAATACATGTATAATATTATAAATGCATTCTCAACAATACATCTATTTAACAATCGCAACTTCCAAACGACCACTAAGAACATAATTCTTATGATTTTGTCATGAACTAAACCCTAATTTCTGGGGGAAACACCATAGGATGTAGCTATTTCTTGACTTGATAGATTGATTCATGTTTCTTTTCTTCAAATCGCTATTTCATGAAATTGCTTAATGCTTTGTGTTGACTGGCCACCAATACATTGATTTGTAGTTGATTAGGTTATTAGCGACAGTGAAACCCTAATAATTGAACATATTTCATGTGACATAGCAACTTATCGAAGCGACAGTGGATTAAATAAGGTATTATGCGGTCTTGATTGGGATATCGGTTTTCAGGCTGAACAATTAATTCATTGAGCTACGACAGTAGGATTTGAGTTGATTGCTTAGTACGTGGTAATTCCCGACAGGGATAGCTAGCACAGTAGTGATATCCTGGCTGTAGAGATATGGATTAAACTGATTGGAATATGTGAATTAATTTTGATATGATAGGTAGTGATTCCCGGTGTTTCTCCCAGAGCTTTCTCCATTGAATTTCTCCCGACAGTTTTCATTTAATTACTTTGTTTATTTTATTTTGCTTTTAGAAATTAGTCTCATTAAACTATTTTCACTTATAGTTTGCTCATAGAATTGATAAAACTTAAGGTTGTACCAGTCCCTGAGAGACGATACCCGGATTTTCCGGTATACTACAAGATAGGAAATTGGCATTATGATTTTGCCCTATCAAGTTTTTGGCGCCGTTGTCGGGGACTGCCATACCTTGTTTTTATTGATTATTGAGAGTGAACTATTTTGATCTGAGTGTTAGTGTGCAGGTGAATTTTTCAAGTTTATCCTCCTCGTGCATGCCTAGGAGGACGACCGACAAGTTACTGCCACTAGATCCAGAGATAGAGAAGACCTGCCGACAGAACAGGAAGCAGGTCAAGTTAGGGAAGCATCCAACCACAACCACAACTCCTAGGCCAACCACACCACCACCACCACCGCGCGACATCGATTCTGTCATTATGGAAGACCAGGATCGTTCGATCAGGGATCGTTTGAATCGAAGGACTGGAGCCCGAGCTTCATGTGTTGTCATTCCGGCTGGGGATGCAACCATGGAGATTACCCCAGCATTCATCAACATGATCACCAACGGGTATACTTTCTCCGGGGCTAGAAGTGAGGATCCGCATCTCCTCCGGTTCGCGAGCATATGTGATACGATGAAGAGCCCAAGTATGTCTGATTATGCAATCCTCCTATGTATGTTCTTGTTCTCTCTGATAGGGAATGCATCATACTGGTTCAACAACTTGACACCTCGTTCCATCACGACATGGGCTCAGCTTGAGAAGGTCTTTCTGGATAAGTACTTCCCACCTACCTTGGCAATGAAGAGACAAGAAGAAATTGTTACTTTTAAGAAGGCATACGATGAGAGTCTGACTGAGGCATGGGAGCGCTACAAGGGGCTTTTGATAAGATGCCCAAGTCATGGTCTAGAAGATTGGAACGTGATCATTTTTTTAATGGAATCAGAAGGGAGTTTCGGGATGCCCTAAATAATGTTTCTCGAAATGGTTTCACAAGGATATATGGAGGCACCAGCAGCATATGAACTGGTAGAGAAGATCTGTTCAGAAGCCACTGAATGGGGTAGTGAGACCAATATTCGAAGAAGAGGAGGCTTTCATGAAATTGACATAGTTACAAGTCTCGAAGCCAAGTTGGATGCTAAAATGGATTCCAAGTTTTATGCACTCGATCAAAGGTTGGCCAAGATTGCTCTTGGTAGACAAGAGAAGGTTGTTTTATGTGAACTTTGCGAGGGTGCTCATCATAGGGATATGTGTCCACTGGGAGCTGCTCAGTTGGAAGATGTCCAGTTTATCAATAATCCGCGAAGTCAAGATCATGGTGGTATGTATTCAAATACATACAACCCTCAATGGAGACATCACCACAATTTTTCATGGTCAAACAACAATCCAGCTGATGTTTGAAACGTCCCACCTCCTGGTTTCCAGCAGCAGCTGCCTCAACCTGAGAAGAAGCCCCAGTTGGAGGAGTTGATTCTGGCTCACATGCAAAAAACCGACAATAATATGAAGGGTATGGATCAATTTGTCACTCAACAGCTAGTCATCAACAATAATTTACGATCATCTATGCTAGCTATGGAGAGGCAGATGTGACAGATGGCTCAAACTTTGGCAGATATTCAGGGTAGGATTCCGGGGACTTTACCAACAAATACTGAGGGGAATCCGAAGGACGCCATGGTTGTAGCTGTCACATTGAGGAGTGGAAAGTCCTTGGAGGATCCAGAGAGTTCAAGGAAGTCAACAAAATCAGGAAAAAAAGGAGCTGCAGAGGTAGAGGTTGAAGAAAGTGCAAAG